TTTTATACGTGTGCATGCAAAACAAATTTCTTGATAGAGGGGTCTAAATACAGCAAAAACAACATTTTCCAAAAGACCAAAAAAGTGAAAAAGTATATTTTAACAAAACGCATTTGACTAACAGGTCGAACAACAAATGTTCTTAAACCCTGCTGATATTGTTATATAATATATATATATATATATAAACGCCTAAACAGTGTACACAACAACACCAATAACAAAAAAAAAGGAACTATAAATGTAATTATTTATAAATATTTCGGATAACAGATATCCTTCATCAGTAAATATGATTGTGATGTTGAATGAATCATATATCAGTCTACTTAGATTAAACTATAACAATCTTGAAATTTATACAATAAAAAAGTCAAACCGAACATCAGGTAAGACGCTTGCACAATTCTAAATATGTGTTAAACATGACATAGGTTATATGACTAATTACAACAGAGAGTTCAAATATATGCTTTAAATAAAAATAATAATGTGCGATATGAACTAGCACAATTCTAAAGCTTTAACGGTGACGACAGTTATGATGTTACAAGAACGATTGCGTAAATAAGAATTCCAAATAAACAGCACTGCACGATCTAAATTTGTAAATATTTCAAATTTGACAACGGTAGAGTAGTTACAACAGAGTCTGCGTGTTTAAACATCGCAAACAAAGTGCCGTTAAAATATAATAATAAATTTTGACTAAGGTTAACTAGTTGAACGTGGCTTGGTACTTTTACATCCATTTATATATATATATACATATATATATAAACAAGTCTAAATTGAAATACATAATTACTCTAAATATCAGCACAACAATGTTAAATCAGCAAATTTGAGGAAGCAACTTTTTGTTCTTCCCTCGCAGGGATTATATATATATATATTTTTGAAACATGAAAAGTTCAGCAACGAAAAAAACATATTGTTTTCACGTTATCTGCATAATATTATTTAAATAACCATCAACATAGATATAATACTGATGTTTGTAGAATTAGATCTAAGTACTGCGATTTATTAATTTGTATTGGACATAACCAGTTCGTGTTTCGTCAACCAGAAGAGTAACCAACCTGTTTGATTGTAATTAACTGATTGCTTGTGAAAAAAATGATTGTACAGATTGTATAGTGTTTCTTTTATAAGATTTTATTATTTTCGAGTACCTTCTAAAATAATGAAATTAAGTTTAACAAATGAATGGCAATCCGAGTGTGTATACATTAAATGATCCTTCGAGATTTTAAACATAATGTAAAATGTTTAAGTATTTGCAGGATTTAGTTTTTGATAAATTATTGTTACATTGTGTATCAAACATGAGAAAACAGTTGTAATGCATTGTTGTGTTTATGAATCATAATTATATGTATAGTTCCAGCAATTTTTTCTGATTCAATTGTTGCTTAAGTGTCTTATCCACGTATATGGGAAGATATATTTGGGGCCTCGGTTGGTCAAAGTTGCCCCCGACTTTGACCTGGAGATCAATCTGCTGATATCTCTTCGGTTTGTCTGCTCCCTCGCCGAACAGCCCGGTGGTTCTCTCCGATAGTACTTCGGCTTCCTCCACCATAATGACTTTTCCCAGTGTCCTAACACTCCCTTCGTGTTGGTGTGAGGATTGTCCTTGTAAATATTGTTGTAAATGCGTTAGTGACACATCTCCATTAATCCCGATAGGGAGTGTACACGGATTCCACTGTACCCTCGCAGCTCTAGAGGTGTGCTCCGAATAACGGAGGGATCTACGTACATACGATGGTGTAGCTTCATATATGGTGCATTACATAAACATTTATTCTTGACGTGTACATGCATTCTAAAATAGTGTTATGTTTTTGTTTGAATGTTAACTTCATGATAACACATATGTTTACTAAAAACTGTCACTTTAAGGATGTAAAATTATAGTCTGGTCTATAAAGTTTTATAGTTCTATAGTTCTAAAATAGTGTTATGTTTTTGTTTGAATGTTAACTTCATGATAACACATATGTTTACCAAAAACTGTCACTTTAAGGATGTAAAATTATAGTCTGGTCTATAAAGTTTTATAGTTAGTCCGTTTGTTCAATAAAGTACATTCACTATATATACACAGTGGGATGTCCAGTGAACGAAAACAAAAGAAAATTCACTCTTCTTATGATAGAGTCGAGAAAGTCAATAATAAGACAATACCGGTGACGATACTGATCAAAAGTTATTTCTAAATAATAATTGTACATTTTAAAGAAATTATTTGTTAAACTGTGTGATGTTTTATTAAAAATATACATGCAAATACACGATGTTTAAGTTCAGTATTTATCGAGATAATTGCCTTAGAAGCTTGTGAATCTGAAATTTAAAAAATGCCAATCTTTGCTGCATATTGATAAAAAAAATTGGAAAAAAAGCATGTACATACAAAATCGAAAGATCTTTCGGGTTACAAATTTTCGGAGTGTTCCAAAAAGTCCTTAGCATGTTATAATTTCCCAAAATATGCTTATTTTTTCACAACTGAGTTATCGAGCACACCGGTCTGCTCTTGTCACATTTACATTCAATAGAGAAATATTGTCTTTTCGTGAATATAAAAATTTAAGTCTGTCTGTGCAGGTTAAAAAATTAAAGATTATTAGTTTTATAAATTAGGTATCTTTCTACTATTTTGTTTACAATTTTAAGAAAAGGTCGTCTCGAGTTTTGTACAAGTATTTGCGGTCTTCTCGATCTATTTACATTCAATGTTTACATCAAGATGAGGTCTGCTTGAATTTGCTTAGTAACTTGATTTCAAAAGTGCCAATCTTTGCTGCATATCAATCGATTCCTTTTGGAATTTTTTCCCTGACTTTCTCTGATCTAGCTGTATATATACGAATAATTAGCATGTTCCAGAGAGGTATACACACAGTAAAAAAATAAATTGAAGTTTGTACTTAAGAAATTTATTCGCATAGCAACATTTTAAACCAATTTTACACCAAGCTTCTATAGCCTGCTGTACTCGTCGTTTGCTACTTAAGGAGGAAAAAGATAACATTGAATGGAAGTTTTGTTTTTATTTCAACTTATTTCTATTTTAACTATCTACCAGAACGTTTTCCCGTGAATCCATAATTGATAGCGTCCTTGCTAAAATGGGACAAACATTGAGAAGATCTAGTTTTCAGTGTTTACAGGGGAGGTAATATTTTGTCACTAGATTTCCCACTGAACCAAGTATGCTAATGTATATATATTAAGACTTCATGCAATTTATATACACCTTGAAGTTTCATGTTAGTCACATTTATATAGTTTTTTCTGGAATTATTATGATTTATTTCATATTTCTGATATCAGCTACCAGTCATTCGTCTTAAGGAATCGACAACAGAAGGAAAAGGTCATCATAATAAAGCGATGTGTGCATTAATTCGGTAGATAGCAATCTTTTATTTTAAACTATGTAGACGTATATTTTACGATTTCTAAATGAAGTTTATGACTGTAGGAAAACATCAAAGTCTTATTTGCGTTAGTCAAAACCAAGATTTAAATCATCAAAGCTTAAGATAAATACAGCTACCTCAATCTTTATATTAATCAGAACATCACAGTCACATTGGTTGTTGTCAGAAATTATGAAAATGAATTAAAAACTATCCAACGTTGGTAACGTTGGTATAATAATTTCATTGATACAAATAGTCACAGTAACACATCCGTATACAGCTATAGTATCGGATCCTGTATCCCTGTTTTATTTTCGGTTTTGAAATATAAAAAAAAAATCTGACTATTTTTTTAATCTTTTGAAAAGGTAAAATAATTCTTATTTGGCAACAACTTTGCCTTTTTTGTTAACCGTTGTATACTTTTCTTACATTTTTCAATCTGATCATTGGGAAAAAAGTAGAGAAATTATCTTCCCACAGAAAAAACTAATAATACAAGATGAGCCATTCTTTATCCAACCGTTAATTTTCGTATATCATATTTTTTATGATTATTTATGTAGGTTCTGGTATCTTTGTATCACCTACGGGAATTCTAGCAAATACCGGGTCCGTTGGTCTTAGTCTGGTCATATGGTGCGTATGTGGATTTATATCAATACTTGGTAAGTTCTCGTTTTAGAAGGTTTTTTTTTAAGTTCCTTTTAAGAATGAATGTGTTACAAAAAATAATCTTAAATCAGAATGAATACATAGGATTCATAACTCTCATATTCAACCATTTCAACAAATATTTAATTATCATTTTTAATGGAGTTAATTTTTATTCCAATTTGCCATTACTTGCTTTCGATCTTTCAGTCTCTAAAAGCAAATATTCCTTTGCATTTCAACACTAGAATGTTATGTTTTAACCGGTGTTCTTACCTGTTTTATATACTAGTACTTTATGTTAAAAAAATTATTATACTCCTATTACAGCGGCGTTAGTGTTCGCAGAGTTGGGTGCACTTGTTCCAAAATCAGGTGGTGACTTAGGTTATTTGTTGGCTGTCTTTGGCAGGTTTCCAGCCTTTATGTATATGTGGTCGTTATTAATCACAGGACCATCGGGACAAATAATTCTAGGTCTTACAGTAGCAGAGTACATGTCTAAAGCTATATTTGACAACTGTGGTCCGAGTTTTCTGTTCAAACAGATAGTGGCCGCAACAGTGATCAGTGAGTATAATGACTTTCTCAGAGTTAATATGTAAATAATAATGTAAGACTATTTAACATCAATTAGTTTGGTACACAGCAAATGTTTTGAGATTGTCTAAATTTCTCATTTGTTCTAAGTTTTCTAATATTTAGCAGTGACCTTAACGTTAAACCCAAATTCTTCACTAATTGTATTCACTGATGAGATTTCTGAAATGCTAAAAACAAAAAATTATCGAATTGAATACCAGATGTCTTCACTATGCTGTTTTAATATCAAATACACGTTATGAAATCTACAATCTGTTACCTGACCCTAGGTATTCTTATATTACAGTGACAGCTGCTGTATCAAACTGTATCAGTGTAAGACTTGGAGAAGCTACACAAATTATTTTTACTGTAATCAAAATTTGTGGTCTGGTCGTTATAGTGATTGGTGGATTCGTCATGATAAGTCGAGGTATGTACAGTCATTGGTGGATTCGTCATGATAATTCTAGGTATGTACAGTCATTGGTGGATTCGTCACGATAAGTCGAGGAATGTAAAGTAATTGGTGGATTCGTCATGATAAGTCGAGGTATGCAAAGTCGTTGGTGGATTCGTCATGATAGTTCGAGGTATGTAAAGTCATTTGTGGATTCGTCATGATAAGTCGCGGTATGTACAGTCATTGGTGGATTAGTCATGATAAGTCGAGGTATGTACAGTCATTGGTGGATCGGCATAATACGTCGAGGTATGTAAAGTCATTGGTGGATTCGTCACGATAAGTCGGGGTATGTACAGTCATTGGTGGATTCGTCACGATAAGTCGGGGTTTGTACAGTCATTGGTGGATTCGTCACGATAAGTCGAGGTATGTAAAGTCATTGGTGGATTCGTCATGATAAGTCGAGGTATGTACAGTCATTGGTGGATTCGTCATGATAAGTCGAGTTATGTAAAGTCATCGGTGGATTCGTCATGATAAGTCGGGGTATGTACAGTCATTGGTGGACTCGTCATGACAAGTCGAGGTATGTACAGTCATTGGTGGATTCGTCATGATAAGTCGAGGTATGTACAGTCAGTGGTGGATTCGTCATTATATGTCGAGGTATGTAAAGTCATTGGTGGATTCGTCACGATAAGTCGGGGTATGTACAGTCATTGGTTGATTCGTCACGATAAGTCGGGGTATGTACAGTCATTGGTGGATTTGTCACGATAAGTCGAGGTATGTAAAGTCATTGGTGGATTCGTCATGATAAGTCGAGGTATGTAAAGTCATTGGTGGATTCGTCATGATAAGTCGGGGTATGTACAGTCATTGGTAGACTCGTCATGATAAGTCGAGGTATGTACAGTCGTTGGTGGATTCGTCATGATAAGTCGAGGTATGCAAAGTCGTTGGTGGATTCGTCATGATAAGTCGAGGTATGTACAGTCATTGGTGGATTCGTCATGATAAGTCGAGGTATGTTCAGTCATTGGTGGATTAGTCATGATAAGTCGAGGTATGTAAAGTTATTGGTGGATTCGTCATGATAAGTCGAGGTATGTAAAGTCATTGGTGGATTCGTCATGATAAGTCGGGGTATGTACAGTCATTGGTAGACTCGTCATGATAAGTCGAGGTATGTAAAGTAATTTGTGGATTCGTCATGATAAGTCGAGGTATGTAAAGTCATTGGTGGATTCGTCATGATAAGTCGGGGTATGTACAGTCATTGGTAGACTCGTCATGATAAGTCGAGGTATGTAAAGTAATTGGTGGATTCGTCATGATAAGTCAAAGTATGTACAGTCATTGGTGTATAACGTCATTGGTTGATTCGTCATGATAAGTCAAGGTATATAACGTCATTGGTGGATTCGTCATGATAAGTCGAGGTATGTAAAAAAAAAAGAATTTAAATTCTTCATTAATTGTTCTTTACAATATTGAGAGCTAGTAATCAAATGGGTTAATTCTGATCATAACCATCAAATGTTTTCAATAAAGAATGATTTCAAAAAATGTAAATTATAAAGGTATGAATATCTTTTTGTTTTACTGAGAAATGAACTTAGTGTTTCTGACAATTAACATTTAGATACAGTTTGGGGTTACAGTTTTTTTAGACATCAATAACTTTATCAAACCTTCAATTAATATTATGAAACGTGGACAGAGGCTTTTTCGTGATTAAAAGATAGCATCTGAACTAAACTTTTGTGAATATTTTTCATCTCTTTTTCCGTATTTTATTGATGGATGAACTAACTATTTTGTAGTTAATATATCCATACAGTCTAGTGTTCAAGTTTTGAGACATCAATAACTTTGTAAAACCTTTATGGAATTTTACAAAAGTTTTACAAGAGATAAACAGAAATTTAGAATGTAAAGTGTGTGTGGACTATTGTTTATAGATATAAGAATATGTGGTATGAGTGCCAATGATACAACTCTCCATCCAAGTCACAATTTGTAAAAGTAAACCATTATAAGTCAAAGTACGGCCTTCAAAACGGAGCCTTAGCTCACACCGAACAGCAAGCTATGAAGGGCCCCAAAAATGACTAGTGTTAAACCATTCAAACAGGAAAACCAACAGTCTAATCTATATAAAAACGAGAAATGCATGAGAAACACTTATGAACCACATCAACAAACGACAACCACTGAACATGAGGACCTGACTTAGGACAGGTGCAAACAAATGCAGCGGGTTTATACGTTTTAATAGGCGCCAACCTTCACCCTACCTGAAACAATAGTTTAACATCACAGCATAGAAAGACACACTATAAAATATCAATTGAAATGGTTTAACTCAATCAAAAGACATATAAGCAAAAACAAGTGAACATACACTGAACGAATTAATTTGAACTATGACACAATGTTAATACAAAATTAATAAAACAAGGGGGTTAGATGTAAAACAATATCAGAAAGACAACCATAACCTTGGACAAAATGCCGCCAAATAAAATAACGTACACAGGCAAATAAAAATAATTTGGTTGTAAGGTATACATGGAGTACGGAAATAATTTTGTTGTTCCTAGTACGAGAACAAAAGTGAAAATTTATCGTCATACTAAACACTTGTCAAAGGTGTTATATATTAAAAATAGTGAGACTAGATATAACACTGAATAAGTAAACATTAAATAACAAAAATGCATTACAAATTGTATCAACAGGTCAAATTAACACGAAAGTACGATTTGAGAGAACTCACAGTTACTGAAAGGTAGTTAAAAGCCAAAAAACAATTATTAATAAAAAATCATGCATCGGAGACAAAAATCAACTAAAACACATCCCAGGGATTTAGTATTTTTACGTCATGGAGAGTCAAAGAAGACATGACTTGTGCAATGCCAAAATCAAAGTTTCGACAGGCAATATGATAGTTAACCTGTTAATAAATATGTATAATGTAATATATAGATAGAGTAATCTCTATATACAAAATGAACGTGGATGTGTATTTATACATCCCAAAAAACCGTTTGAAAAGAATACAAATTTAGTTATATTCTAATTTGCTGATGACAAAATCTATATTTGTGCCAACGTCAACTATATTCAAAGATCTAATTACAACATTGGTTAGATAACCTTTACTAAAAAGTTTGTTTAAAGGTTCGATGAGTTTACACGGATCACATAGTGATTTCCGCGCTTTTAGTACAATATTAACGTTAAATTTAGGATGTGAAATGTATACATTTCGTCAGATAGAATTTTCTTTAACTTTGCCAAAATGAAGTTTTTACTTTGCTTTTTTCAAAAATATAATAAAAAGTATGGGTCACCGTTCTATTTTTTAAACTACAAGTCGTGCACAATTGCACAAATTTGCATAGATTGTTCATGAAAAAACACATTTTTGTGAATAAAAAGAAATCTATGAGATAGAATTTTGAATTAAAATATGAGAAAATAGGTTTTTTAAAATGCTTAAAGAAAATCAAAAGAAAAAATGGTGTCACCGAACTTGTTTTCTTGCTACAAGTAAAAAAATGAAATATCACTATCATTCCAGTATAAATTTTTTACTATAAGAGTTATCTCCCTTTAAACGGCTCAGTTGAAAAAATTGATTCTAAAAACACAAGTATTTGGTATTTGTTCAAACATTTTGGATTATGTAATAAATCCCTTATTTTTATATATAGAAATAAACAGTCTTACACATAAATTGCAAATCTGTCTCAAAATTTACAGATTTAGGTAAAGAACTAGACCGATTATGTTCTGCTATTGTACAATCCAAGATGGCAGTATACAGTGAATCTACCTTAATAATTTACCAGTGATGCATTGATTACGTTCGTTAAATCTATCACACCACTACACACACAGGCATAACGAACAAGTTGGGATATATAAACACCGTATGATGGAGCAAAAGGAACATCGCCGTCTAAAAAGGGAAAATTAACAATAGGGAATGAAAAACCGTCTCTTTTTCGTAAATTTTAGTATGGAGTTTCCCTTTAAAAATTGAAATGTCTAAATCTAGAAAAAGACAGCTACTGCTATTTATGTTAGATTTATTTAAAGTAAGTTCCTTTGGATAAATTTCGGTAGTATATTTAGAGAACTCTGGATTATTTAACGGAAAAATCTCATCAAGGTAACGGTAGGTATTGCTGAATGTATCAACTAAATGTAACAATGACGTGTCTTTACTGAGTTTGGTCAAAAACTGAGATTCATAGCAATACAGGAATAAATCTGCTATTAAAGGGGCACAGTTAGTGCCCATATATTACCTGTCGATACATTTCATCGCCGAAACGTACATATATGTTGTCCAGGAAAAAATTTCAAGCTTCAATCATATCTTCACATTTCCAGTAAGTGTATCTAGCATACTTTCCTTTTTCGTTACAGAAAAGGCTTTGAACGAGTTACAGCAAATAAATTTGCAATGAGAATTTCAAAATACCATTTAATTAAAAATGAAAACTTTTTCTTGATAAGATTGTGTGGAAGTGTAGTGTAGAGAGTAGAAAAATCATAACTGTCAACAGGATTAAAAGGACCATCAAAAGCACGTATTTTATCTAAAACCTCTAATGAATTTTTAACACTCCAAAAATAATTAATACCATTATTTTCATAAGCTTTATTACAAAAGTTAATAACAAGTTTTTTGATAGTAGTAAGGAAGGTAGTAAGAAGCACTGGCAGATTAGTAGTAGAACACTTACTAGATGCAGAGATGAAACGGGATTTAAATGGTTGTAGTCTATTTGTCGTTTTTCTTTTGGCCAGGGTATTGTCTGCTTTTCTTCTACTTGTAATGTCTGATTGTCTACTTGGTATATTCGTTACCTTTTTTCATTGCGAAATGGAGAGCTCCAGCAAGTCATCGACCTTCAACACTGTAAAAGCGTTGAAACCATAACATGACAACTTCTAAATCGACTTCGAGTGAAGATACATTATGAATTATTCTAATATATTATTCCCTAATAGCAAAACATACACGGAGCAAAAGTGACTGACGAAATGCCTATCTTTGGACATGCATCTAACGGGAAAATTCGACAGAGTAAATAAAGTTTGTGAGGACTTACCCTCACACAGTTAAAAGGCACAATAGCAAAAGAAAAACGGCACTTTACTATAAAATATCGATAGTCTATAAACCTATTAAAGAATGCTTGCAGTAAATACAAGCAAGTTGTCATCACTGTATCTTATGATAATCAAAACATTGCCTTTCTGATATCAGTTTCTGTGCTTCTAATTAGGATTGATAAATGTCATAAATATTGTCATAAAAAGTTATTGTGTAATGCCCTAAAAAATTTCTTTTGTTTTTGCCTTCTTTTTTTATTTTGCTTGTTTAAAATGTTTTTATCTATTTATTTGTTTTGGATTTTTCATTTTCTTATATGTTTTTCCATTCATTGTTGAAATTGCACTTTTTTTAATTTTACAGGTACATATGGTAGTCTAGCGACGGGTTTTCAAGGATCAGAGAAAAATCCATTGGTATGGGTCTCAGCTATATATAGCGGAATGTGGGCTTTTGGTGGATGGTAAAATCATATGCATCTATGTTTGAGGGCTGGTATCTCTAAATAAAGAAAATAAAACACACAAACACAATTGTAAATAATTATCTTTTTACTGCAACACAAAAATCCTTAAATGATGATTTGTTTTGATAAAAAGAACTATGCCTTTTGTTATTGTAACACAACTATCTATTCAATATTATTTTCAATGTCGAGATGGCCAACCACATACAATACAGCCTAGTAAAGCAGAACCTAATTGGATTTCTACCTTTTCTGACATAAATTAAAAACACATTATACTGGATTATTTTCTTTGAAATTCAATATTCATCACCGGTTTTTCGGTAAAAATGTTAGGCAGTCAACAAAAATTACTACTAGTATAGATCTATCTATGTTTGGTATGCTCATAATATCTTTCCTTGTAGATAGAATAATGATACTAATTTTTTAGGTCTAATCTAAACTTTGTCATAGAAGAACTTCAGAATCCAAAACGGTAAGATATGAAAGTAGAGCACAGACAGTAAGTTCCAAAAAGTCGGGAAAACATAACCTAATAGACAATAATCGTAATTTAAAAGAAATGAAAAATGTTAGGAATATAATTTTTTACTTTATTTTTCTGGAGATAACTACGCTTTTTTAATGTTTATTGGACATTCTTTTATATATATCATTAGACTTGGACGATCACCACTAGAAATGTATTCTACTTGAACATAAAAATAAGGATATGTGGTATGATTGTCAATGAGACAACTATCCAGCAGAGTTACAACTTTTCAAATTGATCACATCTAACCTGTAATGAGCAATATACTTATTCAAAAATTCTTCTGGTGATTTAAGTTTTATTATACAAGTTCATCCAGTTCTTCCTGTACATTATATATTTATAAACCGCTTTTTTATCTTCAAATATTCATTTTCAACTATATTTTCCGTTTTCATACTATGTTTCAGAAACCTACCTTTGTGCATCATAACTTCCATATTGACTGTCCTGATCTTGTATTTCTTAGTTAATATATCATACCTCACTGTATTGACCAAAGAAGAGTTTTTATCATCGTGGGCAACGGGTGTTGTAAGTTTATTATTATTATTTATTCATTCATTGACAAGCATGACCGTTTGAACGTATTATATATAATGTTGATTTCTGTTTTCTCATGCAATTAAATAAATTGCCACTGGTACCCTTTTCTTAGTGTTCCACAGAACAGGGTAACAGTAGGATATATAATGTCTTCGCACATGTCATCGTAAATCATATTTTGACGAAACCTCTATTAATCTTCCTGATGCGCTCAATGTTTCGGCACCGCCTCGGTGGTCTCGTGGTATTCTGTTCACCTCGAGTGCGGGAGGTCCTGGGTTCGAACCAAAGACTTTAAAATTGGGTATTTGTTGCTTCCCCGCTAAGCACGCTGCATTAGGAGTAAGTGCAAAGACTGGTCGGCTCGGAGTCAGAATAATGTGTCCGGGTAAGGTGACATGTCTTCCTGCGGACTGCTACCTTGTGAACTAGCACGTTAAAAATCCGGCTCAGCGTGTCAGTGTGGTACAAAGCATGGTAAATATTCATATTACATTAACATGTTCTCGTAATGAATATGCATATTAATTTGCCGCTGGACGTTAAACACCCATCCATCATCATCAATTTTCCAGCAACACCACAAACCTAGTTAACAGCTTAAGTTGATCCAGCGAAATTCTGCTTTTAACACTATTTGGCAACAAAAAGGTGAGGCTTCAATTAGATCAATATAGTGTAATGCAAAATGTGAATCAATAAACTTAGATTTGTGTAAAAAATCCCAGAAGTTTGTAAAAGTTTCCTAAAATCGCTATAAAAAAATCAGGATTAATGATACGTTTGTAAAACACTGCACGAACTTTCTGTATCCTAACGAGAGATTTGTATGTTTATTGTGAACTTTGATATAAAGTTTGAAATAAGGTCAGCAAACGATTGTAGATGTTTTTCTTCAGTTATTCCGAGGAATAAATGATCTTTCAAAAATTCGTTGTAAGAGCGTACATTTTATGTTTCCACAATCATTCATTTTTGCGTATTTATCTTTAATTTGTGTATTGTCATGGCATTCTATTGAGGACTGTCTGACCATCTTTGACTTGGTATTTTCTAATGACCCTTTGTAAATTCTTATTTTTGTAAGTCATTTTGTCTTCCTTTTAGAAATGGTTTTTTTCCATAAATATCAAAGTGATAAGAAAAATACAGAAAGCCATGTTGTAGCAACATAATTTTGTACGTCATCTCATATTGTTTTAATCACCAGTTAACTCTTGAACAGAACAGTTTGGTAGCAGACTAACTTTATCATTGTTTTTACAGTCTTGGGCTGAATACGTTATCCCTACAGCAGTTGTGTTCATTCCCATTGTTGTGGCTTGTTCTGTATATGGATCAATGAACGGAGGCAGTTTTATTTCAGCAAGGTAAAAACATAGTTCTTCTTTGTTATACTCCTGCTAACTGAAGCGGTGGTATCGCGATTGTGCTGTCAATTTGCATGTTCGAAGTAGATATCCTGAATTCGCAACCAATAAAAGGGTAGACATCCTATATCCACAAATTTTCCTATACTTTAATGAAACTTTAAATATTTTTAGGTTTTTACGCAGCAAAACATTGCCATGTATACCAATCGGGTCGTGAATTTGTGAGCTCTTTTCAATGTTTTCTGAATAAGTATTAGTATTAATTCAATACAGAAATTAACCTTATGATTTTTACCAAAAGACCATTCACTTTGCATATCAAATGATTTCACCGCTTTAATTCATAGTGTATTTATTTGTTTTTGGTATGTAACGTGTTACGCGAGCTACCAGCCTCTCATTTTTATAAGCTCGAATTCGTACCAGTTTCTTGAAATTTAAAAAGCATTAACAAATGAGTGTAAAACAATGATACCAATACAAAAACTATAAAACTCTATAAATTAAACCAACACTAGCAATAAACCGACACGACAAGAGGAATAAATATCCCACATAAGGTTAGGTCTTTCACAACTTCCTGAATCTACATTTCGAAAGTGTACCATACGTATGTGTAAATGAAACATGTTTCGAACTGTCTAAAGTAAGAAGTATCAGTTGTCTGGGGTCTATTTTGGTCAGCAAACACTCGCTGCAACAGTATAAGTAAATGGGGTCTCCAAACCGTACACACACCCTGTTTGTAACGCTTGTTAACGAACAAAATGTAGCTTCCCTTAGAAACAGAATACAAGCGTTTTACCATGCGTATTCATACACTTGACAATTCGTGCTAAACCTCGTATCTTAATTCCACGTATGACCGATTTTCAGCAAAAATATTAAAAAAAGGTAAAACTTAATCGTACGGTGCTTGCTGCGTCCCAAATGTATAAATTAATAAACTTACTCGGAAACTTACCGTTTGTTTACTTGTTTTGTTCTTTTTCAGGATATGTTTTGCTGCTGCTAGAGAGGAGCTATTCCCAGAATTTTTGTGCTATCTTAACATACATAATAATGTTCCGATTCCTGCTATTTTCACCTTTGTGAGTATAAAAACAAAAAAAGTTCAATTTAACAACTGTATATCTAATTAGTCATTCCTTTGAAATCTGAGAATCAATTTGACAGGCAGTCCCGCTCGTTGGGAAGTAGTTAGATACAAAGATGCAATTCACTAAAATGGTCCACTATATTAGTTAGTTTATTTGACCTATAAATGCATCGGATAATCGGCGACGTACTTGGGCCATACTCTACCAAGATTATACTCTAATGAAGATGAGAACATACTCATCGTTTTCTTTCAATGGCAAATGAGTGTTTTTCTTTTTGTGATGAATGACAAAGTGTTATACATGAAGGATTTTTTTCACTGTAGACTCGTTTTAATGGTTATTCCGAAATAAATACATGCGTGCATCATCATTATGAATCTGTACAGGAGAACATTCAAAAGAAAAGCACAATATAAATCTATCAGTAATGTTTTTAAAGAAAGAAAATTAAATTAAATTAATGATACCGGCTAAAAAATGAAGATGGCTCTTGCTTTCGTCATGATGATACCGGCTGACTTTCTATTGTCTTTTTTTCAATATTGTAGATGGCTCTTGCTTTCGTCATGATGATTCCGGCTGATCTCAGCAAGATGTTAAATCTAGTTGGATTCATCGGCTGGATATTTGATGGTTTAATTATGGTAGTACATATAGTTCTACATTTTAGAATGAAGAATGTTGAGCGCCCTTTCAAGGTAAAGCTAATACAGTCATATAGTTTTCTATCGATCGAATATATTAATTGTTTTTGCAAAATAGATTCACATAATGCAACTAATCTAAACCTTGTATGGTTATCGACAGTGGCCCATTCGAGAACCGATAATTTACAGTTTTGATAATAATTGTCTAAGAAAATGGTGTGAACAATAACCATTGATTGAATTCCTTCCCAAGACAAACAATACGACAAAAATGTATAGGCATTGTATCAGCAGAAGGAAGCAAAGCAAAATCATTGTTGTTAAAAACTTAAAATGTACAATAAAAATGGGGAAAGCAAATAAAAAGAAACTAAAATGTTTTTGATGTGGTCTCGGGTTTGTTACAATGTTCACTTAACGTACTTAATGTTTTTATGTATTTCCATTCAATGGTCATTTACTCCATATTCTATCATTTTTTATTGTATGAAAATAAACCCACTGATTTGTCATAATTTCAGGTCCCTATAATTGTACCAATAATCGTGATCATCTTTGTGTTGTACATATTGATAGCGCCATTCCTGGAACCTGTAAAGACAGAGTTTTGGTATGCTTTATCGTTCCTTTTAGCTGGTGTTGTTTTATACATTCCGTTTGTATTCTTCAAACTTCGTCTACCCGGAATAGGTTAGTACGCACTTAGTTTTACGATAAATCTTGTAACTATCACTCATATATCTGATATTCCGTCAATCCATGCATCCAATCAACGAAATCAGTCAGGAGAATAAATGACAGTACACATTACTACAACGCTTTATAAAATAAAAAAATATACATCAAAAGTGTTTCACCTGTTTTCAACTGAGACAGCTGACATATTAAGCATGAAACTATGATTGTAATAACGTTAGTACTGATTTTATTGCACCAGCATTTCGACAATAAATGTCTCTTCAGTAATGCTCGAGGCCAAAATATTTGAAAATCCAAAACGTATTCACGAAGCCTGGCTAGGAATCAGAGCTTTCTATGAAGTAGATAATTATATTCCTTAATTTAAATCAATTGCAAACATTTTCTTACACCAATTTTCAATAAAACAATATCCGTATTGTCGGGCCAGTACCGAAGTACTGGCTACAGAGATGATGGTACCCTCGGGGATTAACAGTCTACCAGCAGACTTTGACCTACTTGTGCACTTTTAGTAAAAGAGGTAACAACAACATATGCATGTTCAGCTTTTTCCATGCAACTACAATCAATACACAAATGCAATTAATTAGAGTTGTTGACATATTTTATATACTTTCAGGGGCATTTAGTATGTTTGTACAGACCTTAATGAATGTTGCCCCGCCTCGAGAATATACAGCGGAGGATTAACCAATAAGAAAAAAATATTTTTACCTTATAATATATATATTTTTAATCAAGATAATACATTAATCTACTGTTTAAATTGCTTCAAGCTTCAAACTCATGCAGTTGTGATATCAATGGCAACACTGCCTCCATAGAAGATATGCAAATCCTACCAAATCCAAAGTCAAAAGAAAAACATGATTTTACATGACATCAGCAAAACGAAGAAGGCCTCTTCACTGCTTACCCATCAAGGCCACCCGAGTTCAGCCAAAGTTGTTGATGGGCTTCGTGTTGTTCAGTCTGAGGTTTTTTCTGTGTAATGTTCTTTTTACTTATGTTTGATCGTCTTTTATTTTGACCGTGGTTTTCTGTATTTCTTCTGCTTTTGCTATTTTACATTCATAATATTGATTGTGATTGACACAAATAGAATTGAGAATGGAAACGGGGAATGTGTCAAAGAGACAACAACTCGATTAAAGAGCGGAAAACAGCTCAAGGCCACCAATTGGTCTTCAACACAGCGAGAAAATCCCGCACCCGGAGGCGGGCTTTAGCTGGCTCCCAAACAAAAATATATACTAGTTCAGAGAAAATGGACGTCACACTAAACTCCGAAACATATAAATGAACCTAAATTAAAACAATATACAAAACTAACAAAGGGCAGATGTTCCTGACTTGGGACAGGCGCAAAAATGCAGCGGGGTTTAACAGGTTTTGTGAGATCTCAACCGCCCCCTAATACCCCTAGCCAATGTAGAATAAACAAACACACAGCGTTACGCACAGTAAAACTCAGTTTAAAAGAAGTCCGAGTCCGATGTTAGAATAGGTAACAGAAGAAACTAAGCAAAATGACAATGACCAACATAAATTAACAAAGGACTAGTAGCAGTTACTGACATGCCAGCTCCAGACCTCAATTAAAATCGACAACTATTGTAAAAACCAATTTGATTAGAATTAGGTGCCCGAAAAAGTGAGCTATTAGTGCTCAAACATATTAGTTTACCCATAGTATAGGGTAAACGGGAAATTACTAAATGACGAGAGGAAAAGGACCGATCGGTCGCACTACAACTTTATTGACCATTGCCAGTCAATGGTACATATAAAGAGAAATTCATAACGCATTTGTAATATCGATTATTGTAAGCTTAGCGGGATAGATGGAACTATACATGTTAATACATCATGAATGAAGAGCAATAAACACTTTATATTTGGCTTATATATGACGTATTTTCAAAGTAATTTACCAAGAGTGCTAGTGTCAAATTATGTAATAGTGTGTTTTCCTTCCTGGTAAAAATAAAGAAATAGGATTGTCTCTGTTTACATAGTCATTTCTATAGAATGAGGAGACAATCCTTGAATTAGGAAATTTCGCTAGGTTTTGTCGGTGGTGCAACAATCATCAAAGACTGGCAGAATTTAGTTACTCCATTTAAGACAAAAAGAAAAAAAAAATTTAACAAATATAATATCTCTTCCAATTTACAAAATACAATTGTCCTCTACAATTAAAAGATAGATTATTATAAATATATTTTTTTTACTTTATTTGTATTGAACAGAATGTACATACCAAAACTAAGATGCCGAGATCATAACAAAATGTAGATGCAAATATGATCGTTTAACAATGAAAAATGCAAATAACACTGAAAATTTTCCTATATAATTACCTTCATGTTTACCTAAAAAATCGTTCTTTTTTCTTCATAAGACAGCTTCTGACCATAAAAACCTTCAATTGTGCTCTTCTTAACAAAACATGAATAGTCTCATTGCAATATTATTTGAAGATTTTATATGGAATGCTAATGTTGTTTTGACATTTTGACTCCGTGTGGATTTGCATGTCAGATGATGCAGACATAGCATGCATGCTTACCCTGTCGACGCACCCTGTCACGCTGTTTTTGAGGATTATGCAAAACCCTCAATTTTTGTTTGTTACCTGGGTTTGTATCTTCTAAATCGATTAATGAGCTTTGAACATTGGTAATCTACTATTTGCTTTAATTTATTTCTAATATGTATTTTACAGTTTAATATACATGTCTTCCAATATATTTCAAAGTAAATGCAGACATATTTTGCGGTCATTAATTGTAATTTTTTGGATGCTTGTTCCTCGTTAACAAGCACGCCGACCGGCCTTTATTTTTTCCATTAGTAGGATGAAAGTATGTTATCTTTTGGAAAAAAATGTAATCTGTGAAAATTTTATTTTTATAAACCCGTCTTTAAAGACAGGACGTATTATAGTATACCTTTTTTCCATCCGTCTGTCCGTATATCCTTCCGTCATCAACACTTCGGACAATAACTCAAAAACTCTTTCACCAATTTGCATGGGACTTCGGTGAATTGTTTACATCTGTTGACGTAAGCTTCCTTTCGATTTTTATAAATTTTATATTTTATGTTTCCATTTTATGGGATATTATTTGTAAAAAATAAAGGAGATTTTCCAGTTTTCTGACTATAACTCAAAAATGCTTTCAGCAGTTTTCGTGAAACTTTGGCAGATTGTTTATATCTGTTGAAATAAGCTCCTCTTTGTCTTTTATAAATTTCTGAAAAAACTGTCCATTTTTCACACTTTGGACGGTTATAGAATTTTATTCGTTCAAAAGGGGGTCTATTTGAGCAGTGCTCATAGTATTTCTAGTTGATCATATAAATTTTTTTTAGCATAAAGACGAACTAAAAGGGCGACGGGTGTATCATGCGCTCATGGTGCAGTTCTTTATTGAATTTCACTAGCACCTTTTAGGAAGAAAAAATATAAGGAAATATATAGAAGTCGCTCATTTATATGCTTAAAGACAATTCACATATAACTTCATACTGCTGCTTAACATTGCTCCTAATTGTAGAGAATTTGTACCCTCCTTCTAGGATTGAAAGAAAAACTGTGAATAAAAGTATAAGGTAGAGATTGATTTAAGGTTCTTCTATTGACTTAATGAAACATTTTATACATCTGTCTAGATTAAAATTCTAAGATGAGTTTAAAAGAGAGGCGAAAGATACCAGAGGGACATTCAAACTTTAAAATTCCTTATTTTTAAGAAAACTGATGAAAAGAAAGTGTCGGCTTTTGATATCGTAAGCTTTGATTCTTGTTTGTTCGGCTTTCTTTCGATAAAATGCTAAAATAAAAAACAAAATTGACTTACCAATACCCGGTAAACGAAAACGGAAAAACACAAATAGGATATACAAAATAGCTCCGAGTACAAGATAACCCAATGCATACCAGAATTCTGTTCGAACAGGTTCTAGGAATGGTGCCACAACTAGGAAGATGCATATCAACAGCAATATAAAAGGCATTAATAATGGAACGTGGTAATCAATAAGACTTAATAAGTTCGTGAATTGTCAAAAAAAAAATTACAAACAACTTAACAGTTTACTTGATGATCATAAGTACACTTTCACATTACATTACTTTTATTTTAAAAAGTATATACATATATCAGTCACGGTTTTGATGGGAATCGGTATTACTTAGAGCTTTGGTTTTAGGTGTAAGCTGTTTATATGCTTTTTAATTGTTTTTTCTAAACCCATTTCTTTTTAAAATGCTCCATGTGTATACTTTTCTCGATATTTCAATAGTTTATGCATAGCTGTGATTCTTTGTCAGGCATTGGCTTTACTTTAGTCCCGTTTTGGTTTTATCAGATCTTCAATGTTGTATTAGGTTTTGAACTTTCAAATATGTTGGCCTCGTGCATTCTGAAGAAACATTAATTGTCGAAATGCGCATCTGGTGCAATAAAATTGGTACTGTAAATGTATTGTTTATTCCGTATCTTCGGCTTGAAACTTGGCATTCGTTGAACTACAGGGCTGTTTTGTTGAAGTTAACATTAATCATGTGGATAGAGAACATTTAAAAAAACGAAAAACAAAAAGCAGATATCTAAGACCAGATCGGAAAGGACAATTCAGAGTTGTACAATGTGTGCACAAAAAAAATGTCTGAGACAATAAACTGTGTTTAAACTAGATCTCTGCGACAGAAAATGACGCTAAACACAAATCCAGGATAAGTATTTGATGAAAGAGATGCAGACACCTTTTTAACAAAATGCATTTTTAAAGTATGTATTGCATGATTAAAAAAGTGGTTGGGTTTTTTTCTTTGATAATGTAAAATACCTTTATAGAGGTTTTAACATCCTTCATTTTGTATCTCAGTATCATAAAAGCTACCATATCAACGCCGAGAAAGATCCAAAATATAAAGCTTATAACATTGATAACCATGCCAATGTCTGCTGGTATTGTCATTACAACCGATATTATTACCTGAAACGAAATCGTTTGATAAGTAAGACATATGAAAAAAAATGTGCCTTAACGATATTAAGCCCAAAATGATTTTTTTTCAATTTCTATCTATTTGTTTTCATTTCACGATTTTATTAACGATTGATTAATAATAAAGTTGTCAATGCATATCTAGCTGTCCTCCTTAAAGCGTTCAACCATTTGGGTTGTCAAATAAAAGATTTGGCTCCAGGAAGTATAGAAAATAACGAATCTTGGATATTGAAAACACAAAAAAAACTCGAAGAAAGGAAATATTTACCATTAAAGAGAGACGGGAGAAACCAAAGGGATAGTCAAAATCATAAATCGAAAACAAACTGACAAAAATATAACATGTTGCTAATTAATAAAGTTGTTATCCACCATTAATTTTTCATCAGGAAATATACTCATAATTAAAACAGTTGACGGTACTGGAACATTACTGTGTATGTTCAAGTACGACAAAATTTCTGGGGAATAAACCCGCACGAGCTGCAGCAGAAGAAAGCCTAGAAATAATATAAATGACACAATCTTATTAGTATGATTCTACACTGCAGTTCATGACGACTTATGGTATTAGAAGAAACAAAATCCTTGGGTGGTTTAACTACTATTTCTAAAGAAATTAACACGTAATATAACCAAGTAGATTTACTGATAATGTGAATATTTTTGAGTCCCTTTCTCGTAAAGAAGGCCATCGTAGTCTTGGAAGGAGAAATCATTGTACATGGTTCTCTTACCATCACTACTGTTAAGCCGTCAAATAGTTTGCCATGTACTGTTATAGCAAATGAGATTTAAACATTGATCAATAAGAATCAAGAATTACATTGGAAGTCACTTTATCATTTGAAAAGGAGTGGAATGAGAAAGAATTTTAAACCTTCCCAATTGTGACATTTTTACTGGGTGTGAATTCAAATGACGGGTGATGCATACATAACAGGGTACACTAAACCTGTCGATGCACCCGGTATCGCTCCTTTGGGAGTTCCTGCGATTATTTCAGTTTTTGTTTTATATCTTAATTTGTTTCTTCCTAATCGATTTTCAAATTTTGAACATAGGTATATATTGTCGCCTTAATTCTATCCATAATTCCTTTTTAATTTATTTCGACTTGACTTTTCAGACGAGGTAATGAAAAAGAGGGCACATATCTAGCGGACTAAAGATGTTTTTCTAGAAAAAAAAGTACTGTAGTCTCTGCAAAAATAACTGAAAACGAAAACAATATATAAGCTGAATGTAGCTTTTAAAGTTATAATAACCGATTTTAACCAGGTTGGTAAATTTTTCGTGAAACAAATATGACTCATAAATAATTTTTAAAAACATTGATTTTCAATTACCAAAAACAGTTATCCTGAATTGGCGACCTATTCACTTACCGACTACTGATAAAGAAGGCTATCGTTAATGTTCCATAACTTGAACATGCCACTATAATAGGGACAATAATAACAGCTGAGTTGATTTCGTACTTTGCCCATGTCTGAAATATAAAAAATCAAAGTAATTTACTAAAATATATAGGCAGACATATACGGATGTCTAACTTAATGTCATTTAATCTAAATTCGTCGACTATGTATGAAAATATTATTACTTAAATGAAATGGTTGACATATGTTATAGTCACTTATATTTTGATCTAGATGTCTTTTGATGTTTAATTATGTCATCGGGTTTATCTCTCATTGCTATTTATATATTTTTTTAAATCACAATACCACAACAAGAATATTTAAAGAAGATTAAGTTTACTTGTTTGTCAACCCCGATTGTAGGGGTTTGTTTTGTTCAGTTTTATTTTGTTATTGTCTTTTCGTTTATTTGTTTTTTCGTTATGGTTTATTTTTATCTTTTTAATCTTTTTCTTTTGCCACGGTGTTTCAAGGCCTATGTTGATTTACGAATCTAATTTCCCCTTAGTATCTTATATTATTTTTGCTGAATATACTAATAAGAATTCTTAAAACATGTCTTCCGCGATAAAAGGCTTATTCCACGTACATTAAGGTTATTCTCATCATATTGTCAATTATGACACATATTCAGATAAGAGTTTACATAACGGATAAAATGATATACTGACTATGAAATGATCATGAAATAAATGGAAATTTCTAGTTTTTGAAGAGATAAAAATGTACTTTTTAAAGTAAACTTGCTTCCTTTTACAATTTTGTATTTTCTATTTACCACTGCTACTGCCCATGATGATAGGAATTCATCTTTTGTTAATACAGAAAAGTAAGCTATGTTGACAAGTGAATAGATCGCAGTCACAAGTGTAATTGATGTTATCACACATAATGGCAGATTTCTGAAACAAAAGTTGAAAAAAACTTCAATGTTATCAGTGTGCTTTGGTTCTGTTCAAGAGACATGTAACTACTATTGAATATGTGAACAATATTTATTGCGTTAGAATCTTTTTTGACTAATATATAATAATTCTGCAAATAATCAGCTTTGTGTCATCAATATTTTCTGTTTCCTATCATGCTTTTCTTTGATATAGGGTTGCCGCTAACAAGAGAAGCTCATGAGAGATGAAATATTTTACTTTAGGAACACATGGTTGATGGTTACGGAAAGTATCCACAAATGACCGTGGATATGTTCCATCTGTCATAGCCAATAACTGTTTACCCGTCCGGAGGACCTGAGATCACAATTGGCTTTTGTGTAGTTCATGTTTCTCAATCATTTTTCTGTGTATTATTTTATGTCTTTTTTCTGTTGGCCATGGAGTTGTTTCCCGTTTTGACTTGTGATTTTGACTACCTTCGTGTCGTCTTCTCACTTTTGTATATAAAGAGCAATGTTCGCCAATCCACCCAAAAGAAGATCGTATCTTTCAAAATCCCTAAACCCTTTAAGAATTATCTTACATTAGTAAATGAATACATTGATGTTATCCGACACTTCAAGTGTTACATGGGTCATAACTGCATCATCATCATGTTAAAATTAACATGTTTGACTAACAAATTTAGTTTCATTGATTTTTCATTTTAATGAAAAATGTTCTTATTGGAAAAAAATAATACATTTATTTTGGAAAGATAGGCAAAATATGTATCTCACATTCAATTTTTGATGGCCTATTTAATATGACAATAACAGGAAGAGGATATAAACCAAATGTATATTGATTGTTGTCTTTCGCTGATAGAGAATATTAACAGTGTTCTCTTACCTTTTAGGATTGACTAGCTCCTCCAACTCATGATTTAAGTTTTGCCTACAATTTGAACTTAAAGTAAATCAATATAAAAAGGCAAAGACTGGAATAAAATGCATATGAGTGTTCTTGATATGTACTTGTACTGTGCATAAACACATCGTGGATCTTACTTTGAGCTACGTGCATTCATTGATTCGGTATTATCTATCAATGTTTTCTTGCACCTCTTCTTTTACTTTCCTAGTATGCCAATATAATAGAGAAGTGCTTTTCTGCCCTGATTTTAATATACGTTGTTCTATGAACCATTGAGAAAATTAAATTTTATATCTTCATGGATTGAAGACATGGCAAACTGTAACCTTTTTTTATACTACCTGTTATAAATCGCATTTATAAAAAAAAAAGATATTGATATATACTTACTTTGTATTGTATGAATGTTTACTTATAAAAACATCAAGCAGTAGGAATTAAAAATAAGATAAATATATGAAATATATACTTTAATGATGTTTTTTCTGTCTTAAAGGGAAACTTCGCAAAAAAATGAATAATTCATATTCTGTTCATTATGTATAAAAAAGCACAAATTCATAGATATTAAAGTTTTATTCTGTAAGTTAAGAGATCACCATCGATTTTAAATTTAGAGTATCAATTCTCCACATGCGGCCATTTTGACATCCTCCCCGAATATTGACCACGATATATCTATAAACCACAAAGGACCAAAACAAGCAGTAACCTAACGTAGCCGTAATAGAGTGTCGATATCTTGTCAAGCGTACGGTTGTTTTATCCGACAAGGAAAGCCAGAGACATATAATACATGTCTCTGGGAAAGCATAAACAGTTTCCCGGGTCACAAAAAAGATTATGATAGACATAGTTGTGCAACCTTTCCTAACTAACTTGATACGGAAAATGTAATTTTATATATATTATTTTTTAAATAACTAGTACTAATAGTATGGTCTGTCGTTTTGAAACTGTTTTGTTTACGAAGTATTTAAAACAAGAAATTGAAATTAGTTAAAAAGTCAAAGTTCAAAGTCATAAATAAGTGTTCCGTGTAAAATTGTTTTTGAAAATCTAGTTTGTTCATAATTGTTTTATGTAATAAACTTTTTAAAATAAATTCGGACCTTCACTTATCTGATCACCAGAATGGCTAACGGAATTGTTCCCAGAGGTATTGTGAGGTGACACGTACAGGTATTCAAGCGATTTCCTGTCGGGCTTTAAAACTGTTATTACACAATTACATAAAACAAGTTCGTGCATCACTTTTTTTCTGGGGGTATTGATCAGTGTACACGGCCGATAACATGTAACTTCCATTTTGAATCTATCAGGTGTAATATACAACTTTGTCTAGCGTATCCGATAGTGATATACTAGTCATTGCTAAACTCACACGCTTGTTTATAAATAACATTTTTGGTGTAAAGAATGATATTTATGAAAATTTAAATCATTAAAAAAAAAAAAAAAGATTTGATGAAATAAAAATCTATTAACACATTTTCCAAGGGTAAATTGGGGAAAATGTAAGTATATACTCGTTGTCAATAATTATGGACATTTTGAAACATACAAATATTGATTTAACAAAATGTGCGGCACTATTGACTAATATATAATAATTCTGCAAATAATCAGCTTTGTGTCATCAATATTTTCTGTTTCCTATCATGCTTTTCTTTGATATAGGGTTGCCGCTAACAAGAGAAGCTCATGAGAGATGAAATATTTTACTTTAGGAACACATGGTTGATGGTTACGGAAAGTATCCACAAATGACCGTGGATATGTTCCATCTGTCATAGCCAATAACTGTTTACCCGTCCGGAGGACCTGAGATCACAATTGGCTTTTGTGTAGTTCATGTTTCTCAATCATTTTTCTGTGTATTATTTTATGTCTTTTTTCTGTTGGCCATGGAGTTGTTTCCCGTTTTGACTTGTGATTTTGACTACCTTCGTGTCGTCTTCTCACTTTTGTATATAAAGAGCAATGTTCGCCAATCCACCCAAAAGAAGATCGTATCTTTCAAAATCCCTAAACCCTTTAAGAATTATCTTACATTAGTAAATGAATACATTGATGTTATCCGACACTTCAAGTGTTACATGGGTCATAACTGCATCATCATCATGTTAAAATTAACATGTTTGACTAACAAATTTAGTTTCATTGATTTTTCATTTTAATGAAAAATGTTCTTATTGGAAAAAAATAATACATTTATTTTGGAAAGATAGGCAAAATATGTATCTCACATTCAATTTTTGATGGCCTATTTAATATGACAATAACAGGAAGAGGATATAAACCAAATGTATATTGATTGTTGTCTTTCGCTGATAGAGAATATTAACAGTGTTCTCTTACCTTTTAGGATTGACTAGCTCCTCCAACTCATGATTTAAGTTTTGCCTACAATTTGAACTTAAAGTAAATCAATATAAAAAGGCAAAGACTGGAATAAAATGCATATGAGTGTTCTTGATATGTACTTGTACTGTGCATAAACACATCGTGGATCTTACTTTGAGCTACGTGCATTCATTGATTCGGTATTATCTATCAATGTTTTCTTGCACCTCTTCTTTTACTTTCCTAGTATGCCAATATAATAGAGAAGTGCTTTTCTGCCCTGATTTTAATATACGTTGTTCTATGAACCATTGAGAAAATTAAATTTTATATCTTCATGGATTGAAGACATGGCAAACTGTAACCTTTTTTTATACTACCTGTTATAAATCGCATTTATAAAAAAAAAAGATATTGATATATACTTACTTTGTATTGTATGAATGTTTACTTATAAAAACATCAAGCAGTAGGAATTAAAAATAAGATAAATATATGAAATATATACTTTAATGATGTTTTTTCTGTCTTAAAGGGAAACTTCGCAAAAAAATGAATAATTCATATTCTGTTCATTATGTATAAAAAAGCACAAATTCATAGATATTAAAGTTTTATTCTGTAAGTTAAGAGATCACCATCGATTTTAAATTTAGAGTATCAATTCTCCACATGCGGCCATTTTGACATCCTCCCCGAATATTGACCACGATATATCTATAAACCACAAAGGACCAAAACAAGCAGTAACCTAACGTAGCCGTAATAGAGTGTCGATATCTTGTCAAGCGTACGGTTGTTTTATCCGACAAGGAAAGCCAGAGACATATAATACATGTCTCTGGGAAAGCATAAACAGTTTCCCGGGTCACAAAAAAGATTATGATAGACATAGTTGTGCAACCTTTCCTAACTAACTTGATACGGAAAATGTAATTTTATATATATTATTTTTTAAATAACTAGTACTAATAGTATGGTCTGTCGTTTTGAAACTGTTTTGTTTACGAAGTATTTAAAACAAGAAATTGAAATTAGTTAAAAAGTCAAAGTTCAAAGTCATAAATAAGTGTTCCGTGTAAAATTGTTTTTGAAAATCTAGTTTGTTCATAATTGTTTTATGTAATAAACTTTTTAAAATAAATTCGGACCTTCACTTATCTGATCACCAGAATGGCTAAAGGAATTGTTCCCAGAGGTATTGTGAGGTGACACGTACAGGTATTCAAGCGATTTCCTGTCGGGCTTTAAAACTGTTATTACACAATTACATAAAACAAGTTCGTGCATCACTTTTTTTCTGGGGGTATTGATCAGTGTACACGGCCGATAACATGTAACTTCCATTTTGAATCTATCAGGTGTAATATACAACTTTGTCTAGCGTATCCGATAGTGATATACTAGTCATTGCTAAACTCACACGCTTGTTTATAAATAACATTTTTGGTGTAAAGAATGATATTTATGAAAATTTAAATCATTAAAAAAAAAAAAAAAGATTTGATGAAATAAAAATCTATTAACACATTTTCCAAGGGTAAATTGGGGAAAATGTAAGTATATACTCGTTGTCAATAATTATGGACATTTTGAAACATACAAATATTGATTTAACAAAATGTGCGGCACTTGTCGATCATTGGTTTACACGCCTAGATGGAAGGTTTATAGGGGACTATGGATAGTCGCAATATAGAACTGATATCATACAAGTATATTGAATATACGAGAGAAACATCCAGAACCAATCTGATTTAAATACAGGTCGATATCTAACTTGCTTTGGTTCATCGAAGCTATAGACATAGTAAGATCACAGATTTATATTTCAATAAGATTATTTTGAACAGTTTAAGAAATTCGTCATCATCACATTTTCCTGGTCCGACATGCATGTTATATATATATGCCACTGGACGTGCACTAATGATCCCCAAAAGCCTATTTGAAGAAATAAAGAAACTTCACTCAGGATAGACTGATGGTAGTTGTATTAACGTCTGGTCAGCTAGAGGGTTGATTAATTTATTTAGTTAGCTTGTAGGGGATTTAACCACTCTTAATATTGCACTTATGCTTTAGATATTAAATGACAGTACCGGTAATATAAGAGAAAATATAAATACGAAAAGTCGCATATCTGATAGAAAAGGACTCACCATGAACTATAGGATTGTACGTACGATTGTCATTCTTAATCGCATAACGGACAGTCATTTAAATGCATGCATGTACGCTGTGATAAAAAGGGGTGTCGCAGTTGCAAAGTATTCATCATAAATCTATGTCAAGTTTATTATTTCCTTTTATTTCTATAAGTTAACGCAGAGACATGTATACACTAGATCTCTATTTAACGACAAGCAACTATATAAATATCTGAATCTGATGTGACTTACCGTTCATCTCTTTCTTTTTTCTCATTTTTTTTTATTTTTGCAGGAATATACACATTGTAAGATATACTGTTCCTCGATTTGGGGGGGGGGGGGGGGGGGGGGTCTGAGGTCATGCCTATCTATCTATGATTAACCTTGACATTTCCGGGTATAACAGAGCTACTTGTATATTACCTGAATGTGGTTAGGTGACGTCCCATGAGGTCTTACGTATACATGTTCATATTTATAATGGTTTCTGATATAACAATTAGGTTTTATAACATTCACACTTCTGCATGTTCTGTATACCAAATTCGTATCTTTTTTTCAGACCGAATGAGGATGTGAATATTTTCCAGGATCAAATTAATTTCGGGATTTTTTTTATTTCTTTGTATTAAATCTCAGAAATTTACAGAATATACTGCTTGTCCGCTTTAGGAGTTTTCTTGTCAGTTTAAACAGACGTATATATATGTCTCTGGTTTAGAGTGGGTTTATGAATGAATGATAAGTCTTACAAAGGTACAAGATATCAAGCACATTGAAAATTGATTTCGCCGTTCTGTCTACATTTAAAAAAGGAAAGTTGACGTTAGATTGATTCTGTTAATTTTTTTAAACATCGTTGGTCAAATAGCTTAAGAATTATATAAATACGTTGTGAGATTTATAATATTTCAATAAGGGCATTCCTGATTAGGTAAATGAAGATCGCTTTGGACGACAAAACTATATTTTCGTAACTGATAATTTTCTCTGCACATTTAAATATTCAAGGTTACCGATGATAATTTAAAATAGTACTGTTTTGATTTATACGCTCGTTTTCGTGGGCCATTTATAATATTTATATAATTATTTTATTAAAAGTGATTCAGAATTTCGATGTTACAACAAAATACTCACCTATTTATTTAAAAACTGACCAAATGCAAAATGTTAAAAAAATATATATATAACGGCGATTAAGGTATTTTGCCACCATATTCCTCCCTTAATAATTAAAAAAAAATCTGTCTCATACCTTCAACGGTGAACCCTTGAGGACAAACACCACTCTAGTGAAGATCAAAGGATTAAAATTACATAATGCTAATCTTTTAATTACCGTGAATTTAACCACGCCTTTACCAGGTGGTGTTAGCATAATACACATGCATTGTATTTACACAGTACTAGACTGAAGCCAGGATTTGTATAGTAAGACAAATTCTCGACTGAAGTAATAGGGGAGAATACAAACGTGAATTTCTATTATACTATCATTTATATATGTTGTTCAACATATCCGTCGAAAACAAAATCATAAAAAAATTCGATTGTATGATTTGCTTTTATTACTATAATTATATCAAAATCCTTAAAATATAAATCGTAAATTTTAATTTAAAAAAATGCACGGCTGATCACTTTTCTTTCTGAATTGTTAGTTGGTTAATAGCTACACCAAAAGTCGTTGATGCGCTTTAAATCGCGTTATTAGATGATTAACGAACAAGACTTTAAATGAGATTAATCCACTCCCGGCATGCAAAAAGACTTAAACTACGTCACATAAGTCAGGAAGTTTGAATAAATAGAATTAATAATTCCCAATTTTCTTCTTTATTAGTTTTCATATCCAGATTAAACTTGGTGAATATGTTTTTAATGGTATTATGAACATAATAAGATGATAAGTAAAAAATCGCGAATTTTCCCTTTAATAACCCCTGTTTCTTCTGAAATTACCGGTAAAATCCTCCACTTTAACTTATTAATGAATCCCGGCATAAATAATAAACGTTATCTGGACCTGGATATTATAATGTACAAATTTTAAAAGAATAAGATCGATCTTCGACTGATATTTTCAATATTTCCGAATATCGTATGGTGTTTATGTTTAAGTATAAGAAAGATAAATAATATATGTGTTATGTTAAGTGATTCGCAGCGCTAAGATGATTTTTTTTTTTATAAAAAGTTGTTTTATATGACTTTCTTGCGAACTTCCTGTTTGGATACTGCATGTGATAAATATTCGTTGTTTCTTTGAATTTTACCTCACATACTTTTATTTGTTTAATGAGAATGTTCTCACCAACCGCCATATGTAAATAATCCACTGTAGATTGCCATAGCAATGCTTGTAGGATTTGTGGAACTTCCTTCAAATCCCGACGACATACTTCCAAACTCACCTACAATTAAACAACCTTTTTCCATACTGTTTTGAAGTTTTTGTTTTTCCTTTTTTTATAAATGCAGACTTAATTTGAGTTTTACACTTATCCAACGTAACCACCAGTCCTGCTTCACTTTTCAAAGACGTTCTGAGTGAAATGTAAAAGAAATCAAAATCCCTTAACTCTTGGATCGTGTTTCTGAACGTTTAAAGTGGGTCTTTGTCATCAAAATACCGAAAGTATTTCCTGTATGTCTGTCATTGTAAAAACACTAAATTCTTTAATCAATAGCATATATAAGATTGTTGTTTTATAAAAAAGGTAGCTATTAAAAAAAACCATTTTAGCCAAATAACATCTCAATATTTCGATCAAACATGACACTTCAGCAGTACTTCCTCCAACATAACCCTTCAACCCACAGTTCAAATTAACGAAATAGTTTCTACCTTTGTATATCTTGATTAATCCTCCAATAATTATCATAAGTAATCCAGCAACTTTCAAAACCGTAAACAGTATATGCGTTCTTGCTGCCAGTCTTACGCTGATACAGTTTATTATTCCAGTGCTTACTGCAATAAAAAAAAAAGCTTTCATACGTGCAAACACAATTATTGTTTCTTTTCCTGTTTATATAAAGATTCCGCTTTATCGTTGATGAATTTTTCTCTGTTTTATTTTTAATGTTGTGATTGATACTGCGTTTCCATGGCGAGTTCTCTTTGTTTCAACTTCAAGTAAAAAACAATGTTGAGAACAAATTCATAATAATTTGTCAATATGATAGAAATTTTCAATTTCAGTTTATTTTTTTTAACTTGTATGTCTGATAATTGGTGTTCAAAGTCAGTTATGGGAATTGGACGATAAGAATAGTTACATTACATAATGCACTTGGTTTATACTTAAAACTTTTCTCTAGCAATGTGATGAAATTTTTTCACCAGTTGATCATATGAATAGATTGTTTCACTGCAAATTGAAAAGGTGTTTTGATCCATTGGTATTATGGAAGGACAAAGCCTCTGAGATTAAAACTGTAAACAATTGACTAACTGTTTAATTCTATCAAAATATATCTAAATGCTTAAAATCATTTATAAATAAGCTGTACTAAATTTATTTTAATTTTTTCTGTTTCATAAATAACCGATTTTTATCCTAGCAAAAAATTTAACAGCAACACATAAAGTATCCTCTTGTATGACTAACAACAGTGTTAAATATTTTGCTGCACAGGTCGCATATGTGTTTATAATTAGTTTCTTTAATTTTATATTTCACCAATCAATGTTTAACGGGAAATATTCTTTAGATTGTTCCGTTTAACTGAACACGTATACGTACTAATTACTGCAGAGGCAAACAATTTCAGAATCAGATTATTTGGTTCACAGTCATCAATTATAACTTTTGAGAAATATTCTGCTAGAGTTAAACTCAATACAACTGATGAAACTGGCAGAATTTAAAACTGGCACCATGCAAACATGAATGCAGGAAATGTCCCAAATACTTTTAACAAATAGTTAAAGTCACCACCGGATCTTGGTATCAACAATCCAAGTTCTACCTAAATCACGGCACCTGAAGGAAAACATGTTTATTTATTACTGTAAATCTTGTGTATGATCGTTTTTGGTATTGTTGGCTGTAATAATCAATTATTGTCCTCATGATAAGTTTAATACCAAATAAATGTTAAATTTAAATTCAGTTATTTTTCAGAGCTAAAAGGCGTCAAATGTTATAAACGATGAGAGATTAACAGATTCTATATTTCCTGATCCTGAAGACCGAAATTGTATGATATAACTTATTGAAAATTGAAGTAAGTGAGAATTGATTAGATTTTCCCCATAAAAAGTCTAATCATTTACATTTCAGTTTTAGTTCATCATTCATAATTGATAATAATATGACTTCAGATTGTTTTTTTTTTAATCGACGCAAGAGAGTAGTACATTTCATGAATTCAGTACAACGGAATAATAATGTTCTTCAATATAAATGAATATAAAAAACAAGTTGCTTTCTTTAAAAAAAGAAAAGCAATACGTGAACCTAAGATCGCTGGTCACCAAAAGATTGTTGCTGAATTTTTGTTTGCTTTTGAACTGAAATAATTGACTGTGAATAGAAGAAGATAATGATGATGTTAAACTACCTTTATTAAAACTATGTAATTGTGTGTACATTCTTGCACAAGTCAGTTGAAAGCAATGCTGGATAGTTGTGAATAAAAAAGTGTATGTATACAGCTACTATTTGAATATACATTTTAAAGCTCGGCTATTTTATTTATTCCCTGGGAATATACATAATTTTTTCATAACCCTTTTGCAAATCCCACTTTCTACAAACCAGATGTCTAATGCAAATTGCACAAACCAATAGCAATATAAATTTAAGCACTCAGTTTGCTTTATAATCTGGATGCATTTATTTTTATCTGTCATATCTTTATATTTTGTTTCTTGCATGGATGCCTTCAAATTCTCAACTCATTATTGAAGCTGTATGAACTCATGGTAGATGTTGTATAGATAATTTTAAAGTCTAATTTCCATTTGAAGTGGAACCCTGTGGCATGCAACTCATAAGAAGGTTTCGTTTATTTTTCTTAAGAGTAACACACCAGCTTCATTGGGCCCTCTTATATAGAGACTTATTTTAGTCTCATAAAACATATCAAATTTTAAGGATTTCTTGATTTTACTTAAATCAATCCAAATATTCTACAGAGAAACTTGGTTTTGAAGAATATCTTATTTATGAAGTTTCATGAATACCTGAACATATTCTCAAAAGAAACAATTTATATAAAAGATATGTAGATATAAAACGATACCAGGATTATAATGTTGTACGCCATACGCGAGTTAAGTCTACAAAGAATCATCAGTGACTCTCGAATAAAAATCGAAATTGTCACAGCTAATAATAGGACAGTGACTCAAAACAAAACAAAAGAGAAACAGCTAGAGGTCAGAATACCGTAAGTTACATGATGACCGTGCTTGAAAGTCACATGTCAATCGCTTACTGCCGTGTCTTGAATTTGAATAAGAAAAGCGAAAATTCTCATTCACGAGTGAAATTAATATTAATGCATGCACGTGGTATTTTTGTCCATAAAATAGTAAATAGAAAGCATTCGCATTGATACTCTGGATAAGAATACACATTTGCGTCATCGCATTAATATAATAGTTGAATTGGGATGTCAAACTACCTACCTCAAGTGTTTTGACTCCGGATTCATTGACATTTTATCCGGAATTTTTGTGATAGTGGACGTGTGAACAGGATGATGTATAATGTGAATGAATCAAGACATTCTGTATGCATGTGCCTGCCCCACGTCAGGAGCCTGTAATTCAGTGGTTGTCTTTTGTTTATGTGTTACTTTTTTGTTTTTCGTTCATTTTTTGTACATAAATCAGGCCGTTAGTTTTCTCCTTTGAATTGTTTTACATTGTCATTTCGGGGCCTTTTATAGCTAACTGTGCGGTATGGGCTTTGCTTATTGTTGAAGGCTGTACGGTGACCTATAGTTGTTTATTTCTGTGTCATTTGGTCTCCTGTGGAGAGTTGTCTCATTGGCAATCATATCACATCTTCTTTTTTATAGTCTTTATTGTTTTACTTTCCAATCTACAAATGAACTTTGATTGTTGAAATATACAATGTCACGTGTTAGCCCATCCACAGAGGGACCGTATCAAAGACATAGAAAACTACCTGTATAAATGATCGAAAATTGTCGAGACGTTCCGAGAATCTTGATTCCAAGGTATATCGAGTGGCCCATAGACACTTCCAAAACTCCTCAGGGGGTTCACGCAAAAAATGTAATAAAGTTTGAAAAAAAACTTCCTATTGTAATAATTTTTTTTTCTTTTATAATGTAGTCATAGATTTTTACCTAATTTAATATCTTAACTTTATAATGTATTCATAGATGCTTACCTGATGCCGAGATTAATCCACAGACAAACCATATCAAAAGACATAGTCCAACACCCAGAATTTACCAAAACTCCTTTTGGTGATACAAATATACCTGAACCTATGAAAAAAAATCTATAAATACTTATTCCATTCATATTTAACATACAAGAAGAGAATATAGTATTTTCCTGTGACGAAGACAAATAATTCGATAGAACAAAGTTTAGGTCTATTTCAAAAAACCTATTGCTAAGTAAAACAAATATCTTCATAAGAGTACATTATATTCTCAAAAGGCAGCATGTTTTTGGAATATTGTCAAAACACGATGATTTTGTGCAATTTTTTACTTTAAAAAAATCAGAACATTTTGGTCGCTACAAAAAAAAGGTTCTGCTCCCATAAGATGCCAGGGTTTATGTTGAATCCCGGGACACAACAAACTCCTGGATCAGGGGTTTAGGCCAAAGTTATCTATGCAAAAAAACTGTTGTAAGTTATGAAAATCTCATAAAATAAAAAAACGGTTTATTTAATATTCCTTCAAGATGTTATTTTGTATTACAAGTTTTCATCACCAAAAAAATGAAAACAACACGTAATAAAAGCAAGCGTCCAAAGCGCTTTTCTGAATTTACCTATATAAAGAACGCTTAAAGCCTAATATTTGAAAGCCAATGGTGTATAAAAATCTAAACATTTGAAGAGCTATATGATTAGAAAAGACCTAAAAAAAATAGCCAAATCTATCTAAGGTCAACTTTGCCTGAGGGAGTTGAAATCTTATAATATAGTTTCTTGATAATTTCAAAATCTATAGACGGACAATTTTTGAAAGGTTTGTTATAAATCATGTCAGTACCGAAGTTCCGACTACTGAGCTGATTATGCCCTCGGGGATTGATAGTCCACCAGCAGAGGTATCGACCCAGTGCTGTAAAAAATGAAAACAACACGTTATAAAATCATGCGTCCGAAGCGCTTTTCTGGATTAACCTTCATCAGGAACACTCAGAGCCGAATATGTGGAAGAAAAGGATGTATTTAGAAAGGTTTGATATAAATCATGTCAGTACCGAAGTACTGGCTACTGAGCTGACAATACCATCGGGGACTCAGTCCACCAGTAGAGGTATCGACCCAGTGCTGTAAAATATAACTATTTCTATGTAAAATTTGTAAGATTTAAAAGCTAAAACAATTATGGTCAATTTCAACACTTTGTGAAACCTACCCCTTTATCATTATATACGATTTATTTTCAATTGTCCATAAATGTTAAAACTAACTGTTTTAACCACGAAATTTAAATGCAGTCTTTCGAACTTCATTTGGTGCTATTAGAGATTTGTTCGATCTCGAGCTTATTTATCCAATTAATACTGCATTACTAGCAGGAGAATTTTCTTCTAAACATGTTTGCAAACAATAGCATGTTTCAAATGATATACAAATTCTTTTCTAGGTCAAATTCTTTAGTGTTTTATGGAAAAGCTTTTACAGTGTTTAAACATGATTAATACTTTACCAATTATTGAGCCAACAATAATGGAAACACCACTGAAAATCCAAGTCTGTGTGTCACTGGAACCGTGTCTATATTTGGTATTCCACTTTTGTCGTTCTCCATGACTTTAGCTTATGAATATTATAGCTATCTGTTTACCTATCAAACATTTTTAGCATATAGTTGTTTACTTTCCAGTTATAGTTATGAACTTTGTAATTTGTGCTAAATGCAGATATATTTGAGGTTTCACATTATTTTCTCTGCAATCATTTAAGGTAGCACAATACAAAGATTTTTATACCTCCAATCTCCCAATTTCTAAATGCTGTAACTTTCTAACGGATGCATGGAAATTAATAAAAGAGGTATTTATGGATAAATAAAAGATTAATCTTTCAAATGACTGCAATTTTTATGATATGCAACCATTATGTAATCAATTATGATGTAATTAGTGACAAAATCTTAGTCAGTTCACTTGAATGAATTTAGCTTTATCCTCTTTATCTTCATACAGAAAGTTTTAACCCAATCTGATTCAACACAGTATGAGCTCCAAAAGGGTGTCTCAGATTTTTCCTGTGATGTTTCATTCCCTCTTAAATATCTAATTAGTGTAACCATTCTAACATCATAAAGTATACAATGTTTAATTGGGTGTAACATCTGTTCTGTACATTCTATTTAAAATCTGAGACACCCTTTTGCAGATAATAGGCACATGAACAACATATACCAAAACCAAGCCTCTAGGGGTACCCATGGAGGAGCTAATTTCATTCAACAGTGGAATTTCATGTAAATATCTGTAGTTGAAAAACTTCAGAAGGTAAGTTTTCCCCCTTTGAACCTCATTCGTGTGTTTAAAAGAGGCAAATGTACCATGATATGGACATATAATTGACATTGAATCATAAATCAGCAATGATTTGACAAGAGAGAAAGAATTTAGTTACAGGACAGTTTACAAAAATAGTTTTCTACTAATATGTATTTTCAGTTTGAAATATCTTCATAGAAAATGAGTATCATAAATACACTTTAAAAGTGGGTATTAGACTCCTATTTCTACAGATAGTTAATATCCAAACTAATCTAATAAAAAATAG